TGACTTTGAGGCACCATCATCGGACGATGTCGACGAGTTGGGTCGCTCTCGCGGTATCCAGGTAGCCCCCCATACTAGTATCACCAGCCATGGCCTCAGGGAGCGCGGGCGAGGGCGCTGGGAGCAACACGGCAGTCCTACGACTTCTAGGATTACGTGCGTTCCCACGTCGTGCTTCTTTTTGAGACGGCGTGCAGGCTGCAGGCGTCTCGCCTGTGGCTCGCTCTTCGGCCACCCTCCGGTCGCCACAGAGCCTCCCCGCCCGCACCCGTCCCACCCACCCCGTCCGCCCGACCTCCCCACCTTGCCCCGCCGCAAAGCCTCGCGTCCGCACGGCCACCAGTCTTTGCCACAGCCACCGTGCACCGAGAGTCGCATGCCCTCGTCAGGCGTAAGTTGCGGTAGTCTCGCTCGCGCCGCAAGCTCGCGACGAGGCTCCGCTGCCGCTGCCGCGGTGCCTCATCACGGCGCCCATCATCTTGGACTTGAGAGGCGTGACGCCGTCTCGAGGCAGGTGCTCGGCGAGATCGACGCCTGCGCGATGCGCGCAGGGCGGCATGGGCGGGCGGCATGGGCGGGCGGGGTGTGTGGAGTCGGGGGGTGGAGTGGGCGGGTGCTGGGTGTGGGTGTAGGGTGTAGGTGGGGGTGTGGGGGGGTGCCGTCGGGGCGTGGCGCACCCATCTCCTCCTCCTCCGCAGTCACGCGCAGGAGCTTGGCGGCCTGGAGCGACCCGAAGACGATGGACGAGGTGGCCACCGTCCAAGCCAGCACGACAAGCGTGCCGAGCACGTTGGTCCCGAACTGGCCCCCGTGGCCCGTGTAGAAGAGGCCGCCGCCGCCCACGTAGCCCAGCGTGGCCACCTGCTTGGGCCACGCGAAGAGGCCCGACGCGATGCAGCCCCAGAAGCCGGGCCACGCGTGCACCGCGCCGGCGTGCACGGGGTCGTCGATCCGAAGCCGCTCGTGCAGCCGCCCACAAGCCGCAAAAAAACGGCCCCCGGAAACGATGCCGATGAATGCCCCGCCCCGTAAGGGTTCTACTACGCCCGCCAGGGGCCAATGATGCCCCTACAAACCCCGCCACGAAAGCCGTTTCAGGCCCCC